AGGTGCAAGGTCTTGCACTTGGGATATAAGAATAGGTGTCAAAGGTACAGGTGGGGAACAAGTGGCTGGAGAGCAGTACCTGTGAAAGGGATCTCGGGGTACTTGTCAGCAGCAGGCTGAACATTGGCGATGTGGCAGTTAAGAAGGCAAATGCCAACCTTGGATGTATAGCCAGAAGTGTGACTTCCAGATCTAGGGAAGTGTTGATACAACTCTGGTGCACCCACACCTGGAGTATTGTGTCCAGTTCTGGGCTCCACATTATAGGAGAGACATAGTAGGCTAGAAACAGTTCAGTGCAGAATCACAAGATTGGTAGCCAGGTTGGGAGGGATGACGTATGAGAAGAGATTGAGGGAACTGGGTCCTTTCAGCCTGGAGAAGAGCAGACTCCGATGGGATCTTTTAGCGACTTATAGGTATGTGAGAGGATGTCATGTGGAGGAGAGTCATAACCTGTTCTTCCCTGCAGTGGAGGTCAGGACTTGTTCCAATGGAGCAAAGCTGAAGGAACCTGGCTTCAGCTTGTATGTCAGGAAGTACTTCCTGAGGGTTAGGACCCCTAGGATATGGAATCAGCTTCCAAGGGAGGTGATTGAGGCCCATCAGTGAGGAAAGATCACTGCAATAAACTACACAATATCCATTTTCTTAAACCTTGAAAAGGCATTAGCATAAGATAAAAATGACATCATTAAAATTATTTTAATAATTAAAATATTGGATAAATAAAAAGGTCTTTGCCTGGGGAAGAAAAGAATACAGAGAAGGCACCAGGCAACCCTCACTGGGGAGCTTATCATTTGGAGAGCTGATGAGGCTAATAGTCCTGATAGCTATCTATGCTTTAAACTGAATCTTACTGGGTAGGGAGATAAGTTGAAAGCAACAGTGAATGAAGGCTTATGTTACTTAAAAGAGCTCTAGTAGTGCCCCCAAATAGCCTTCTCAATAATGTAGGAAAGAGGGCAGACCATAAAACACATGGGCTTCAGTGTCTATACACTAATGTCCAGATTATGGAAAACAAGAGATGAAAGGATGACAGACTTCTTTGAAGCAGAATCATATGGAGATGAGCTGCAATATTAGAAAGCAAAATGAAAACTGCTCTTAAAGCATTTGCAAAGAAAAAAGCACCTGGAGTAGATTCCAACAGAACTATTCCAAGCTATAGAAAATGGATCAGTCCAAATCCTGACAAAAACATTTCAACAAATGACCCACAGGCTGGAAACATTCAGTATGGAATCCAATCCCCAAGAAAAGTGATGCAAAGAGTGCATCAACCACAGGACCATTGCATTAATTTCCTGTGGAAGCAAAGTGATGCTCAAAGTGTTGCAACAAAGGATACTACCCTATATAGAGTGTGAAATGCCAGATGACCAAACTGGATTCTGAAAAGGAAAAGGCACCAGAGATCATATTACAAATATACATTGACTACTGGAGCACACCAAATAATTTAAGAAGAAGAGCAGGCTATTTTGAAGGGCTTTCATTTATAAAGTCATCATAGATAGAAGACAACCTGATGGCACATAACAACATGGGAAACAAACAGAATGATCTTAAATTCTGATAGGTATTACTGATACTTAATGGATTGACTCCCATGAATGGAAAATAACATATTTATCTCTCCCTCCCTCCCTCCCTCCCTCCCTCCCTCCCCCTCTCTCTCTCTCTCTTTCTAACACATCCACCACTAGCATCTCAGGATGGCTTACAATAAAAAATGAATGGAATAAAACAAAACATTGCAGCATCCAGCAATTTAAGATAATAAAACCCTAGCTAAAATCAATTTAACATTAAAATGATGGGAAAATTAAAAGGTTTCTGCCTGATGCCGAAAAGAATATAACGTTGGCGTCAGGCAAACCTCTCTGGGGAGCGTATTCCATAGTCGGGGGACAACCACAGAGAAGGCCCTCCTCCAGGTAGTCACCCTCCTAATCTCCTTCAAAGGGGGCTTCCAGAGCAGGACCTCCACCTCAGATCTCAAGGGGCAGGAGGGCACATAGGGAAGAAGGCGTTCCTTCAGGTATCCCAGACCTAAGCCATTTAGGGCTTTATAGGTCATCACCAGCACCTTAAATTGGGCCTGGACTTCAATTGGTAGCCAGTGTAACTGATAGAGGACCAGTGTTATATGTGAGTACCTGCTGGTTCCCATTAACATACTGGCAGCTCTATTCTGAACCAGTTGAAGTATCTGGACTGTCTTCCAGGGAGGCCCACATAGAGCGCATTACAGCAATCCAATCAGGAAGTTACCAGAGCATGGGTCACCACTGCAAGGCAATGCTCAGCCAGGTAAGGACACAGTTGGTGGATCAACCAAAGCAGAAGGAAAGTGTTCCTCGCCACTGTTGCAACCTGAGATTCCAGGCACAGCTTTGGGTTGAGGAGCACTCCCAAACTGCGTGCCTTATCCTTTAGGGGGAGTGCTACCCCATCCATGACAAGGCTGAAATCACTTACCCAGAAGACTGAACTACCCACCAACAGGACCTCCATCTTGTCTGCATTGAGCCTCAATTTATTGGCCTCCATCCAGCCCATGACCCCAGCCAGGCACCAGTTAAGGACAATCACTGCCTTACCTGGACTAGATGTAAAAGAAAGGTAGAGCTGGGTGTCATCAGTGTTCTGATGACTCCACAGCCCAAACCCTCAGATGACCTCTCCCAGTGGTTTCATGGAGATGTTAAAAAGCATGGGGGATAAAATGGATCCCTGCGGAACTCCATGGCAAAACTGTAATGGCACAGAGCCATAATCCCCCAGCACCACCTTCTGGAATCGGCTGGACAGGCAGGAGTGGAACCACCACAAAGCAGTGCCACCAACACCCAATCCGGCCAGCATATCCAGAAGGATACCATGGTCAAAGGTACTGAAAACCACTGAGAAGTCCAGGAGAACCAACAGGGACTCCCCTTGTCCCTCTCCCTTCACAAGGCATCATACAGGGTGACCAAGGCAATACCCAGGTCTGAAGCCAGACTGAAATGGGTCTAGATGGTCAGTTTCCTCCAAGAGCACCTGGAGTTGTCCTGCCACCACCCACTTGAGTGGCTTGCCCAAGAATAGGATATTGGCCATCAGTCTATATTTAGTGGTCAACTCTGGGTCCAGAGATATCCTCTTCAGGACAGGCCTGCTCACCGCCTCCTTCAAAGGGCTGGGAACCTGACCCCTCCCTCCCTCAGAGAGTTGTTGATGTCCTCACGGACCCAGGTGCTTTTCCCATTCTTGGCTTTGATGAGGGGCAAGGGTCAAGTAGACAGGTGGTGGGTCAGACCAATCCAAGCACCTTGTCCACATCCTCAGGCCACAACAATTGAAACTCATCCAATAAAGGTGGACCAGACAGTGCTCTGGATGCTCCCCCCTCTGGAACTGTATCAACTTTGGAGTCGAGCTCATGGCAAATCTGAGCAATTTTATCCTTAAAGTGCTGGGCAAAGTCATCACAGTGAGCTACGGATGGTGCAATAAGATCCTTTTTAGGGTCAGAATGTAATAGGCCCTGCACCACCCAAGAAAGCTCATCTGGACAGCACTGTGAGGATGCAATGGAAATGGAGAAGAATTCCTTCTTCGCCATCGTCACCACCACAGTGTAGGCTCAATAATGAGTTCAATAATGCTATGCTTGGTCAGATTTGTCCTGGGATTTCCTCCACCTATGCTCTAGTCATCTCCCAGCCTACTTCACTGCCTGCAACTCAGGTGTGCTGAGAGGGCACTGCATGATAGGAGAGGATGCTTAGGAGCAATCGTGTTGATTGCCCTGGTTATTTCCCCACTTCACAAATCAACTAGGGCATCAAAAGGAGTGCCAGCCTTATCAACCAGAAAATCCCTCACAGTTCTCGGGGTTAACTCTGTTGATTGGTCCAGACACAGGCTGTACTCACACATAACGGCAATCCATAGCAGGAATGGCTTGTTCTTATATGTGGATAATTGAAGCATGGTGAAATATGGCATTTGATTACTGTGAGTCATCACAGAGAACCAACAGTCTGTTCTAGCACTTTAGCATTGCTTCTTGTTATGTATGAAGCCAATTGCCATGTTTTTCCACTGTTCCCCATTTCCGCCAACACATTCAGCAGCAAAAGTGGTCACCGCCACTCCAGCTGCCACATACCATGCCATTTGCCTTACAATGGCCGAGTTGCCAGAGGACAAAATTCGCTGCCCCCATGTACACTGGGGAACACCTCCAGGAGTGGCAAGTGCAGGGGCAGCTATGTGTGGCCCTCCTGCCTGGTCACTGCTCTGCTGCACCTGTGGCGTGGCCATGCTACTCTAATGGTTCTACAGAGCAGCAGAAAGCACAAAAACCAGTGGCTGGCTGAGAACACATCCAGGGGAGTGTGAGGGTCAATAGGGGAGAACCAAGCAAAGCAGGTAGGAACAGTGCACACTGAGATTGGTTCCCAGCTGTGGAGGCTGATAGGATGCATGCTGTCATTTGGAAAGAAGATGGAGAAGTGTGGAAACTACTCATAAGTAGTTACCTCATGACTGTGTGAACAGAGGACAAAAGGTAAAAATACAACTCCGTGGTATTCTTTAGTGTTATGTGTGAGCATAGCCATTGTCTATCATTACCCTCACAACATCAGGATAGTGGAGTGGGGGAGGGTTTTCTCCACACACATTTCTCTGTATAAAATACTGCAGCAGTGATTACAACAGGGAGATGGTCCAGTGGGATGATTCAAATTGTTCTCCGGAAGAGTCCACGTGAACACACTTTTGTGGGAACAAGTTGTACATCCTCAAAGCAGGAACGGTAGCTTGGAGCCACATGGGCAAAGTCTTCCAAGAAGTAAGACACATCACTAGCTATAATATCTAATTTTGATTACTGATAGGAAAAGAGCACACTTACACAATGTTCAATTAAATGAACGTTTAAAAGCCTATTTTAATCTCTCCATCTCACCATTCTGCCCCTGCCCCCCATTACTAACCTTTATCTTGTACAAGTATATCCAGGTCTTCCCTAATCCCATCATACCAATTGGTGATATCCATATGGAGAGAATAATCACAGCAGGATTTGGCATCTGCAGTCTCATGCCACTTTTCAAATGATGTTAACAAACTGGAATTAGATTCAGGAAGAACATGGTCAACTGCAAAAAAAGAAAAAAGAATAAAAAAGATGAGTTAACCATTATTCAGTCCATATATTAAACATACTGCAGATGGGTAGCAAATGAAACAAAGCAGTTCCAACAACTCTGGTTTCATTTGGTATATTATTTTCAAAGAGCTTAAAGAAACATCATTGCAAGGAACAGCTATTTTCCATGAACTTACTTGGGTCTTACTTTCATTTTTCTTAAAGCAAGGCATTGTGTTAATTAAGGCATGTTTATAGCTATCTGGGTTTGCTATGTATATAAAAATGAATCCTAGTGAAATGCCTCATGTGACAAGTGAGATTCATGGGACAAAAGGTCTGTAGAACTGAAAAGGAATGTATATGGTGGAGACTTGTGGTAGAACTGAAAAGAGGGTGTAGAGCATGGGTCCTCAAACTATGGTCCACAGGATGGATCTGGTCCACCATGGCCATCCATTCGGCCTGTGTTGTCATTCGCCACCTGCGGGAAGGCGGTGGCTTGCTCACGCAGAGATGGGTCTCCAAGGGAGCAAGCTGCATGTCCAGAGATGGTTTTGGACTCACTGGGAGATCTCTGAGTGAGTGAACCACTGCCCCGCATGCCCGTTGCCGCCTCATGCGCGCTCCCAGGCACCCCACCTCACTGGCCCACGACGGTCACCACAGCCTTTCAACTGGCCCCCTATTGAAAAAGTTTGAGGACCACTGGTGTAGAGACACTCCACCATGAAATCCTTATCAGGGATGGTCTTTTTATCCTCTTCTCTCTATTTAACAGGAAAAATGAAAATGATTTTGTTTTGTGGATTTTTTCAGTGCCTGAGTGGGGGGGTCTAACTATGTGTCTTATCTCCTTTCATTAGCCTGGAAAATAAATCATAGTCATAGGACAGGCTTCACAACTAGAGTAACCTTCCCATCCCTCCCCACAAGACTAAGAGATTTATTAAAGGAATTATATGCACCTAGGAGTGAGTTTAAATAATAGTACAGTGGATGGAAATGGTAAATATAACTAATTAAAGATCCTTGATTACAATACTCAATAAATGAGTCTTCCCTGCCAATTAGCTCTCAATAACTTCTCCCTACCCCAACAATACCCTATTCCTCTACACTCCAATCCAGCCAATCTAGACAAGGACAAATTCCCCAAAAGAACAGCTTTTGTGAAAAGTTGTTAAGCCCTCACTTCCTATTCCCACTTGGGGAAGATGGTACATTCATGCAAGATATATGATGCCCTTCCTGTTTGAAGATCCTTTTTCCTGTTACTTTAAATTATCATACCCCTGTCTAAAACAAAGTATGTCCCCCTCAGTAGCTCTTCAGATGCTTCTTTGACCCACAGAGAACTGAAAGGCTTAAAGAAAAATTCCAAAGCTGCTTAGGGGACTGGTGAAGAGGCAAGGGTAAAGCACATGGATCCCTGAGGGTGATGGGAAAAGGAAGGAAAGGTCAAAAAGTTGAAGAGAAATCAGTGCATAAATGCATTCATCTTGAGATCACATGTACTATAATCGCCACTCTGTCAGCCAAATAGATGGTGATATATCATAGCTATTCATTGCCTTCCAAGCTACTGCATTAAATGGAGAAGGGAAATAAAAGACAAACTGTACAATTCAAACCTCTCTAGGAAACCAGCTTATATAGGAATCAGACCTTTGTTATATTAATCCAAAGCCGGTTCTGAGCAACTTGTGCCTCATTTTCCTTTGCCTCAATGAACTGTGGTTCTGCAAGACAAAGAGAAGGAAGAGGCTGCCCAGCACTGGTCTTGGAAGGCTAGCAGAGCAGGTTCCTTTAAATTACCACCACTGCCCAAAAGACTCTGGCAGTGATGGCTGGGAGGGAGGGGGCTGCCTCCAGAGGAGGGGGAAGTGCAAGATGGCTGACGCTCTCAACCCCAAATGGCAGATGTAGCTCATGGGGAAGCAAAACCCAATTTCAAGTTAGTTGTTTAACACTGGCTCCTGTACTCCACCAGCTCTAACTGCACTTCCCCCATGTTCATTGCCAAGGCTCTCATGCACATGCTATTAGGCAAGGGGAAGGGGGGCTGAGTCACTCAAGAGGAAGTAAAGCACCTACAGCTCAGGACTTCCCCTCACTCTGGGGAGCTGGCACTCATCTGAAATGCAGCTGTGCATGCCAAGATAAAGGGCAACATTTTCAGCAGCTGTCACTCCTGCTTTCCTCAGGAGAGAGGAGAGTGGGGGGATCTAACTATGTGTCTTATCTCCTCAGTGCTCCTGCAGTGTCCTTTGGGATAGCAACTAGAGTAAGAGGAAAGAGGGAGAGGCAATGCTTCATGACCTCTGCTGTGCTTGATCATTAATTTGGCACATTAAGAACACTGGGCAACCCTGGGATCAAAATATCATCCAAGTCCTGCTTGAACTTTACCATTTAAATTCAAAATGTTTAACTGGTCCTGTGAATTTCAGCTTGGTAAACATAATATTTGGATTTTGCATATTCAGATGGGGGATGACCTGATTACCAGACCTGATGAAACATTTTCTCATCCCTGTCTAATCAGGAATGGATGCTGTGTAGCAGTCTTCCTCTGCCTTCAGCAATTCCCATTGTCTCTGGCTTTCCTACTTTACTGGAATCCTGTTTTTGTTGTTGTTGTTCATAAATTTTTACTTTTTTCCTTAAACCACTAAAATACAATAATACAAATACTTTTTAAAATCATAAGAATAAAAGGAAAAAAACTATATGGGGGGGAACTACTAGTGCACCCCTCCACTAGGACCATGGGTACATAGTAATTATTCCTTCATTTCCATCTTCTTCTTTACTACTACTAAATTTCCACTCTTTCATAAATGACCCCTTCTGTCCAGAATTGCACTGAGTCATCTCTTCTCTTTTATTAATACATGTTCAATAAACAAGCCTTATATATCACTAAAAGACTTCTGAATTCTTATTTATCAAGCCTTTTTTCACCTTAATTCTACAAGTCAACTTATCCTTCACAGCTATATTCCAGAATTCTTTACACCATTCAGTTAACTGGAAATCTCATTTCTCCTTCCAATTCTTTGCTATTATTAATCTTGCTACTGTTACCAAATTTGTTATTAATTCTTCAATAGTCCATATGCATTTCTTTTCATAAAATCTTAACAATAATGCTATCTCAGGGTCTGCTTCAATCTTTAAGTTCAATGTCTTACCTCGAAGTCCCTGGTGATCCTGACCACACCCTGCCTGGCTATGTCACTTGTCCCTTCATTTGACATGAAGACAACTGAGACAACAGTGGCAGTGGGGAAACTACATAGAAACAAAGCGAGTCAGTAGGGACTTCCTGGGCCATCTAGTTTGACCCCTGGATCCAGCAAGCTCCACTTATGACATGCCCACCATGTCCAGCCTGTCCTTGAACACCCTCACTGATAGGGTTTCAACCACCTCCTATGGAAGCCCATTCTATGCCCTAGGGATCATAACTGTCAGGAAGTACTTCCTGGTGTCTAAATTGAACCTTGGTTCCCTGAGCTTTACTCCTGTCCTTCTCCTCAGGGGAAAACAGGTCTCTACCCACCTCTGTGTGACACCCTCACATACCTATATGTCGCCAACAGATCCTCTCAGAGTCTCCTCTTCTCCAGGCAGAAAAGACCCAGTTCCCTCAGTCTCACTTCATATAGCTTCCCCTGCAATCTAGCCACCATGCTTGTGGCCTTTCGCCACACTGATTCTAACCTGCTGATATCCTTCCTGTAATGTGGAGCCCAGAACTGAACACAATACTCCAGTTGCAGGCACACCAAAGTAGTATAGCATGGCAGTAATACCTCTTTCATTCTGGAAGCCAAGCTTCTGCTTATGCATCCAATGGTCATGCTCTTGACCATCACGCCACACTGCTGACTCATGTTTAGCCTGCAGTCAACAAGTACACCAAGATCCCTTTCACATGTGCTGCTCTCCAGCCACTTGTCCCTCATCCTGTACATGTGATACATATTCCTGTGTCCCAAGTGCAAGACCTTGCACTTTTCCACATTGAATGTCATCCTGTTTTCCCCTGCCCATCTCCGTACTCTGTTCAGATCCTCCTGGATCTGGAATACCTGCTCCTCAGTTGTGACCACCGCCCCCATTTCAGTATCATCTGCAAATATGATCAGCAGACTGGTCACCCACTTTTCCACGTCATTGATGAAAAGATTGAACAGGGTCGGACCCAGGACAGAGCCCTGAGGGACCCTGCCTGTCTCTTGCCGCTATCCTGATGAATCCACAAGGTTCGTCTGGCAGGACCTGTTTTGCCAAAACCGTGTTGAGTGACCACCAACCTCCCTTTCCTATCTAGGGACTCCAGAGTCTTTCCTATTAGCAGCCTTTTCATTGTCTTTCCCACAATGGACGTAAGGCTAACCAACCTGTAATTCCCCATGTCACCTCTGCTACCATTTTTGAATTTTGGGACAACTGACATCCTCCTCCAATCCTCTGGAACCTCACCCATTCTCCACGAGGCCTCAAAAATGGAGGCCAGAAGATGTGAGAGTCCCCCCGCCAACTCCCTGTGTACTCTTGGGTGTAACCCATCAGGGCCTAGCACCTTCCTAATGTCCAGTGCCCTGAGGAGCTCGTCGGCTTCTAGGGGAGGTGAGTCTAATCTATGTCCCTAAATCCCCAGCTTCATTCGATCCCCCATGCAGCTCTCCCCCATCCTGCTTTGGGGAGATCACAGAGGCAAAATACTAATTTAGCATCTGTGCCTGTTCCCTCACATCATTCACCAAATCCCCTTCCTCCTTATTTAGTGGTCCCAGTACTTATCTCCCCTTCCTCTTGCTATTTCCATGCTGATAGAAGCCCTTTTTCTTGCTCTTGATATTCTTTGCAAGTCTCAGCTCATAATCAGCCTTAGCCTTGCGAAGAATCCTTCTGTAACAAGCCTCCTCCTCCCAGTATACCCTTTTGTCTACTTGCCCCAGTGCTCATTTCCTACGGAGGTTCCTCTTATGCCTAATG